AGTTCCCTCCTCTCAGATGGCTTTAGGTTCTGCCAAGTTGATATAAAACGACCCAGCACATCTATGTCCACGTTGTATGAGTTGTTGTCTTGTAAGAAGCCTGGCTGGAAATAGGTTCACTTCAGTCTTCCTTCTTTTAGTAGTTAGACTTGTACTCCCTCCTGTCCTGTTGCTGACAATTGTTATTTCCTATAGTTAAACCTGATTTTGTCACTTATGGATAGAGGAGTAGTTAACCAGGTATTGTGCCCTATGCCAGCATAGGATGAGGCAGGAGGATTAGCATGTTTGATACCAGGCTGGCCTGCCCAGTGAGTTCCAAGGCCGACATGGACTACATAGTGAGACTTCGTCTCAAAAAAGCAAAATTAAAATCAACTCTTACGTGCTTTAAAGTCTTGTTTCAAGCATTTTTGTTGTATGAGATTTGTGATTGTTACGTTCCATGAAATCTTGTAAACTTTGTTCTTTGGCTTGAGAAAGGCCTCCTAGTCGCAAAAAAATGCCCAATATGTACTATGATTTCATGTTGTCTCCCAAATCTCCTGTCCTTCGAAAATTGATCCTTGATAAGGAGAACTGGGAGGTGGAACCTTTAGGAGGTGTTTGGGTTAAGGAGACACTACCCTATGGCAAGGTTTGCATACAGCAGAAGCAGATTCCATATTAAACATACAAGCACGGTCATCGCTGACTTGTCACTCCTGCCCTCATCCTAACTTTATGGGCACCCAGCAAGAAGGCTCACACCAGATGCTGTTATAGCCAGCCTCTAAGCTCTCAGAACTGTGAGCCAGTTTTTTCTTTTTATTGTTAAGTTACCCCTTCTGTATTGTTCTGTTACAGCAACACTAGATGGCAAATTATGTCATTAATTTGATATTCTTTTTGCCATATATATATATATATATATATATATATATATATATATATATATATATACACACACATGTATATATCCAGAGCCAATTTTGTTAGCTGCTAAGTAAGGCAGGGATTTTTATAGGGAATCGCCTACCTTCAAAGCATCCTTTCACTTTGTTTCAGTTAAAAGTTTAGGAGCTAGAGAAATGGTTCAGCAGCTAAGAGGAATCACTCTTCTATCAGAATCCAGATCCAAAACTCACCATCGGGAAGCTCACAAACTCCTGTAATTTCAGTTCCAAGGGATCCAACACTCCCTCTTGGCCTCCACAGGCACCTGTACACAGAGAGAGGTGAGGGAGAGAGAGAAAAAAAAATAAATCTTAAAAGCCAGCCAAACAAACCTCTAGAAGGAAACTGAGCATGTCAGGAACCATCCAACACCTTTATGGTACAAGGTGAGTGTGCTCAGAAGTTCTACTGTATTGCATTTTCATCTTTCTAACAAGTGCCCCATGATGTTAAGCCCTCAATGTGTTCACCGTCATTCAGGAGCATATACCTTAACTGAGCATGCTCAGGAATGTGCCTGCTCCTGAAGGGCTTTCCCATATGAATATGTGTCTCCCCAAGTAAAATTCCCCCACTTCCTTTCTGTGAGGCACTGCCTTAGAAATGCTCCCATGGCCTTGCCTGCTGCAGGGGATACATCTCTCCTGCTCTTTGATGCTTGCTTTGGGCTTTGCACGAAATGAGACTCAGGCCCATCATATTTGGTTACAGTGCAATTCCTTTTGCTTGATTAAGAATTATTTTTTATTTTTGTTTAAGGAGTTTGTAACAGGTTCTTTTTTGGCTTTCAGATTTCAAGGATCCTATCTGTACATGGCTGGATCTTAACAGGGATAAATCTAAAATTCATTCAGTCTGTAATCTCAGATCTTTCTGTGGATCAGGGAAATTTTATTTTCAACAGCATTTTTCCTTGAATATTCCTTTCCCCCCTCATTCTGGGATTCCTGTTACATGTTAACAGGATGAGTTATACCAAACAAAGACATTTTGTTTGGAAACAGAAGCCCAGTACCTGGAACCATGTCCATAAGTACTAAATGAATACTAAATGATTTTGCAAGTGTGGATCTTAAGTATCAAAGCCATGGCCAGCTCCTCTCATTGATTTCCCCCACCCCTTCACACACAACACTACATTTAAAGAAAAACGGCTCTAAAAGAGAATGTTGGGGAGTATCAGAAAATCCCTTCTTCGTTGTGTTCACTCAAAGAGACTACAGAATTAGTCATCAAGTATTATAGTTAAACAAAAATACAAAAGCAATTCTATTTTTCATTAGAAAACATTCATCTTTTCTTTAAAAATGGAAAAGTTTCCAGCGCACTTCTAATCCGCTCAGCTCACTGCTAAAAAGCTTCATTTGGGTGAATAGTGAGTTTCATGGGATCATGTCCAGCACTCTGTCCAGACACAAATAAAAATGTCTGCAGTCACTACCCCAGGGATGATGAAACTGCAGGACCAGTGATCCCACTCCAGGGCTCAGGCATTCAGCTGGAACAGAAAAATTAGTCTCCCGGTGGGCTGGCATTCTTACAATGTCATCATTTGTATTCAGATTTTTTTTATGGGCTTTAAAGCACATTGTGGTCAAGGAGTACAACATAAGAAATCATCTTCAAATAGCTAATAAAATGACCAGAGTAATCACATTAAGAATTTATTTTTTTAAAAAATTTTTGCATTGCTTTTATAATATGGCACGATTAAATTCAAGAAAGTTAGGCAAAGGTATATTGTAGATAGCTATGCAATTAATTTTCCTGGAAAAACATCTGTATTTTTTAAAGCCTTGAATAAAAATAGAAAAAAATGTTAAAAAAAAAAAAAAAAAAAAGAAATCATCTTCAGAGGCCTGAAATGAATTCAAGAAAAATGGTAAACTCTCAGAGAAGATAAGCAGGATAGCAAATGTTTAACAATGACCATTTCAGGTTTTGTTGACAAAGAACCAGACAGAATACAACTTAGTATTTATTTGGTGAATGAAGAAAAGGAACCACAACCTTTCTTATTCTTGGGTTCAAACCCTAGCCCCAGCAGTATTGGATCTTGAAAGGTTACACTAGTATGTTTTCTTAGCTTCAGCTCACTAATCTGAAAAATGGGGATAATTGTGCCTATGTGCTCTTATTACAGGGATTGAATCAAGTCATGATGCCTGGGAGAGGGGACGTCTCAACAAAGGGCAGTCATTTTGAGAGCTCTCATTTGCAGCAGTCATTGGTGAGCTAGTTCTTGACCAAACAGATCTACCAGTTAACCCATCTCGAGCTATCTCCTAATAGATCGACTGTTCTCCACATATACATTGTATTGAGGTCGTTCGCACCTGGCGCTGGATCATGCCGCTGGACACTCCCGCAGACCACCCTTTCCTGGGAACCAAACACAACCTGTCTGCTAATCACCAGACCTCTGACATGCTAGACTGTGACAGGCAAAGCCAGGACTCAGGAAGAATGACAGCGCCTCACTTGGCTAGCAGCAGCTTCTGTGGCTTATGTGGGTGAATGCAAAATACACGAAAAGACTGTAACTTACAAAGGTATGGATACTCCTTTCCACCAATTTCTTAAGAACTAACTACTTAATATGAGCAAAGTGTCTTTGGACTAATAGTCTAGGTAGCTTCTGAAATACAATTAATGCCCCAATCAAACCTGAAGAAACTCTTTGCCTATAAACAGACTCCATATACCTTTAGCAGCTCTTGTCTCAACTAAGTGAAATCTGGGTGAGAAAGGAACCCCGTAGGATTTGTGACTAACATAATTTTAAATGACAATGCGAATTTCCCTCCCACGCAACCAATGATCAACCACTGTTGTCATTGTACTAAAAATTATATTTGCAAGATAATCCAGTTTATTTGTCCTGTTTCTCCAAGGGCAAGATTATAGAAAGTACTTCTTTTCCATAGGCAAAAAAAAAAAAAAAAAAAAAAAAAAAGTGCTTTTAAATTATAAATGTAGCTATGAATAATCAAGTTATCAAAATGTGGACGATCCCACGGAACTTGAAAAGCATTTTTGTCATTTTGCTTCATGAATCACTCGGAAAACCAACTATGTATGGCCCCCAGATAAATTACTTCCTCGGAATGTCACTGGATTCAAAGAGTCTACCCACTAATTAACAGGCTGATACCTTCATTCAAAGATTCTACCGTCTTCGTCATCGTCATCTCAAGGGCTATGCAGTCAAGGACTAGGACCCATTATTCGCAGCAAGGTTTGGGGAAAAGAGAAATCTGCTACCATTAGATCCCTCACCACTCCACTGAAGCAGAAATACACGACTCCCACCCCCCCCCCCTTTCTGGAATTTATGGTAGATGCTCAGGACATGTGACACTGGATAATGTTTGGAATCAAACACTGGGAATCTGCAGTCCCACAGTGATTCGTTCACACAGCTAGCTACCAAACGATAGGCAAACAGAAATCCACAAATTATTCCTGTCTCAACTCAACTAACGTTCCTGGGGTCCCTCGGAAAACCCAGCCAGACGCTGAGGGATGAGCTTTTGGAAGGCTGGGAGCGTGAGAGAAACCGAGGTACCTTCACTCCGAGGCGTAGGGGCCTCTGCACATTTAAAGCTTGTAGCGATGGTGGCACACTTTTGGAGAAATGCTGAGCCTTTGCCCCGCAGTCGTGGGGGGGAGGGGGAAGCTACCGGGGTGAGGGGCGCAGGAAGCGGCTAGTGCAGCCTTGACACAAAAACCAGCTCCCTCAAACCCCGGTTATCCAGCTGCTTCTGGGAGCTGGAGAAAAGCCCAAATGCCTCCAGGAAGGCCCGGGGGAGGCATCCGCTCGCTGCCAGCAGTCGAAAAGGAAGGGGGCATCCTCCGCGTTGCGCAGCGCTACAGAGGCGGGGTGCGTCGGCGCGCAGAGCAGAGCGCCAAGAGCCGGCGATAGGCAGCGGCAGCCCACTCGAGACCGGGGAGGGGGGTTCTCGCGCCCCCTGCTTCGGGGTGACCGCACCCCAGCTCGGAAGGAAGCGGGAAGGGGGATGATGAATCATCCCGCCCCGCTCCTCCTCCCCGGCCCGCGCGCCAGCCTCCTCCCGACAACCCGCAGCAGCCCGCGGGCTCGGCCGAGGCTCCCGCTCGGATTCCCGGAGCCCCCAGTGGCCTGCAGAGGAGACGAGACTGACAGGGCGGGCGGCCAATGAGAACGCCGCTCTCCCTGGCGGGGCGGGACCAGACGGCGGAGGGGGCGGGCCCGGGCTGGCGCGCAAAGCCGAGGCTCAGCGGCTCCGCGGAGAGAGCGCGTCGCGGGGAGTCGGCGCCTGGGAGACGCGGGAAGGCGCCGCCGCCGCCGCCGCTGGCCAAGGTCCTGGACGCCGCAGGCCCGCCGGCCGCCCCGCCAGGTCAGGCCTCCTCTGCTGCAGCCGCCGCTGCCTCGCTTCCAGCTGGGTCCCCATGGAAGAGATGGAAGAAGAGTTAAAATGCCCTGTGTGCGGCTCCTTCTACCGGGAGCCCATCATCCTGCCCTGCTCCCACAACCTATGTCAGGCGTGCGCCCGCAACATCCTGGTGCAGACCCCGGAGTCCGAGTCCCCCCAGAGCCGTCGGGCCTCGGGCTCTGGGGTCTCTGACTATGACTATCTGGATCTGGACAAGATGAGCCTGTACAGCGAGGCGGACAGCGGCTACGGCTCCTACGGAGGTTTCGCCAGCGCCCCCACCACCCCGTGCCAGAAGTCGCCCAACGGCGTCCGCGTTTTCCCCCCTGCTATGCCGCCACCGCCCACCCACCTGTCACCGGCCCTGGCCCCGGTGCCCCGCAACTCATGCATCACCTGCCCCCAGTGCCACCGCAGCCTCATCCTGGACGACCGGGGCCTCCGCGGCTTCCCCAAGAACCGCGTCCTGGAAGGGGTCATCGACCGCTACCAACAGAGCAAAGCCGCGGCCCTCAAGTGCCAGCTCTGCGAGAAGGCGCCCAAGGAAGCCACGGTCATGTGCGAACAGTGCGACGTCTTCTACTGCGACCCCTGCCGCCTGCGCTGCCACCCTCCGCGGGGGCCCCTGGCCAAACACCGCCTGGTGCCCCCGGCCCAGGGCCGCGTGAGCCGGCGGCTGAGCCCGCGCAAGGTCTCCACCTGCACGGACCACGAGCTGGAGAACCACAGCATGTACTGCGTGCAGTGCAAGATGCCCGTGTGCTACCAGTGCCTGGAGGAGGGCAAACACTCCAGCCACGAGGTCAAGGCCTTGGGGGCCATGTGGAAACTGCACAAGGTGAGCTCCATGCAACCCCGTTCCCTGACCCCCTCCCCCCTTCCCGCGCCCCGAGTCGTCCGCGTTTGCAGCCCTGGGTTTCTCTTAGGGGGTCACAGCGCATCCCAGTGGGGGGCGCAGTGCAGGTGCCTTCGGCGGCGGCGGCATCTGCCCTGGGATCTGGTGCATTGCAGGAGGCTCGGGGTTGGTCGGGGGGGGGGGGGGCGTTCGAGGCAATGCAGGGAAGTTGGGCGGCTCCGGGGAGCTGCTGCAGGGGGGCCTGAGCGTGGGTCTCCCCCTGCGGGCGCTCTGCCTGGGAGCCGGGCCCAGGGCGCCCCCTCTTCAGTCGGCAGCCTATCCATGGCCGCCGCCACCGCAAGGCCAAGCCTCCGCGGCCTGGCAGAGGCGCGCGGGTGGCAAAGGCCTCCGGGCAAGCGCCGCTGCAGGGGGGGGAGGGGGGCGGGAGGAAGGGCCGGCGGGGCGGTGGGGTCGCGCGGACCTAGGGGAGGGTGGGGGAGATTGTCTCCGCGAAGCCCTGCTGCATGGCGGGGGCGGGGAGAGACTCCGTGGGCGGAATACCAATGAGTCCGCTCCGGGCTGGACCTGAAGCTCCCGCCGGAAGGGAAGCAGGTCCCAGTGCCTAGAACTCCGGAGGGAGGGAGGGAGGTTCAGCGGTCCCGTGCCCTACAGTCTGGGCTTCGACCCTCCGCGAGCAGAAGGACCAGGTCGGGTCCCCAAACCATCGCTTCCCCCAAACCCTTATTCCGCCAGGTTTCAAACCTTTTCCCCCTTCAGTAACTGCATGTACAAACTTTGAGACACCTGTTAGCAGATTTATCTTCTGAACCTCTTTGGATAGGGCCCAGAGCTATGGAAAAATATGCCATTAGCATGTTGTCGTGTTACTCCTCTACTCTGGTGACTTTTTTGGTTCCATCCTTAGAACATTCTAGCAAAGCCTCCTTGACATGTTCCTCTTGGCCTCTCCCACTGAGTGGCCCCCTCACTCTCCTCCTCTGTGTTTCTTGCTGTTCCTCAACCAACACCGGAAGCCTGCCCTCGGCCTACGCCTTTACACCGAATGATCTTTCCTGAAACTCTTTTTCCCCAGTGCCCAGTGCCCTCCCTTGCCTCCTTCACTCTGCTCGGGTGTGAGTAAGGCCCAGACGAAGGCTTTGATGACCAAAGAGTGCCGCCTGCCTCAGACAGCCCTTTCCTCCCTGTCCTTTTTCTCGGTAGTACTTATCATCATGATAACATGCCACACATATAAATTACGCTGTTTTTGTGCTTATCCATTGGTCCCTTCCCCAACACACACACAGAAGAGGAAGCTAAGCTTTGTGAGGAAAGAGCTCTTCTTAACAGCATGTCTATGCTGCTTAGGAGGAAGGAGAGCACTTGGCAGAGATGTGCTTCACGTCAACTTTACTTCTCAAGAATTCCACTTACTTGCTGGGTGTGTGCGGTGTGCTTGTGTGGGGGAGGGGCGCGGCAGCTGCCCAGCATGGGCAAAGGAGAAACTGTCCTTCTACCTCAGGGCTGTCTGTCCAAGGATTAGGCAGTGAACGTGGCCGTGCAGAACCTCAGCTGTGTCCCCTCTAGTTTCCCAGCATTCCACGGAGGCTAGGAGGGCTAACTTTGAGGGGTGCTCGCTCTGCGGTTAGGATTGGAACAGCAATAGTAATTGGGACAGAAAAAGGGCAAATGGAGGCTTTGTCAGCAACCATTGGGGACTCTTTCCTGCCTCCATATCCCAAGTGACAGGGCATCTACGGAATGTGCCACCACGCCCAGCTCTCCGGTTATACTTTTTTAAAATGACATTTAATTTTGAAAGTTTAAAGTTTAAAAAATTAGGTCTCAGCCATTTCTTCATTCATATTATGATTCTGCACTCCGAACTGTAGTCTGAACATAGTTGGGCCTGTTATTGTATTTCTCTACAAAGAACCTAAAAAAAATTAATCGTCGTATCTGGACAACGACCTTAGTCTTACATGCCAATTGGGATGGTGTGAACCACAACATTGCATGCACGTGAAGAAAAGCCCATACTCCATCCACGAAGACCAAAAAGAGCCTTCCAATCTCTGCCATGCCCATGTGTAGTTGAAATGTCAAGCCATTTGTTAAGCCTGATAATGGAAATTGTGAGTAGACATGGTTGAAATTTTTATATTTGCTTAAAAAAAAAAAACATGAGAAACAGAATAAAATGACTAGAAAATCTGGTTTTGGGACACACTTTTCCAGAATAATAAATCAGTATCATTCTGTCCAGTCAATATCAGAGTAACCAAATGGCCTGGAAAAGTTGAGTGGAAGAATGGTAGATCATAATATTCAGTTGTCATTTGTTTAAAAAAATCACTAAGCATTACTCTTTAACTTTATTTTTCCTTGACAAGATAATAGGGTTTCTGCTGCATTGTCCACAGCTAGACTCTGTCCTAATACTTCTGCCTCTGTGAATGCTCCTGGACCAGAATTGCTATGACCTTCAAAACACAGGGCAAAGGACTATACTTCCTTCTTTCAGAGTCGGGCACTCAGTTATGAATATTTTCTTTCATATTCTATGACAGTAACCATTTCTATTTCTGAAGAAAATTCTATAAATAAATATCTGTTAGACCCAAGTCATCAGGTTACACATGCAAGGCAAAATAGTTTTCAAGTAGTTTTAATAGTGGTTACAGCTTATTGCCAGTTTACCAAGTTAATGTTTTAGATACTTGTAACCTCCAAAATCCATAAGTAATACATGAAATAATAGTCCAAGCCAAATACCTGGTAACATTCATTATACTGTATCAGTATTTACTTTACCCCTCATACAAGTCAGACTGATAGAAAGCCTTGCAACACAAAGGGGGTTTGTAGACATTTTGAAATAGGCATTGGGAACTGCTATTATAATCACTTTGTAATTTAAGCAGTTCCCAAGAGCCCCAGTTGTCTCAAACTCCTGATGGCTTACAGATCACTGAATCAGTAAATGTTTCACATCTTTCTTCTAGGCTTGTGCTGTCAAGCAAAGACTTTCTTTTTTACCCTAAACATGTACTATTAATCCTGATCTTATCTCAAACAGTCCTTCAAATTACTTTGCCTTTAAATTAATTGACTTTGGTGTTTTGAGATTGATTCTAAAGTAGCCCAGGCTGCTCTTGAACTTGCTATGTAGCCAAAGATGCCTTTGAACTCTCGATCCTCCTTCCATAAACTCCAACCTAGTCCCTTCTTTTTTAAAATAAGCCACAAGTTGATTACACTTTCATTTCTAAACTATGCTTGAAGAGTATCTGCTTAGTTGCAGCATTTGTATAAAAGCAGTCTTAGAGGATGCCTCTAAAATATCACAGTTAACTCTATGTTACAGTGTGTTACAGTATATGTTCTGTGATCACTGTACTTAGTCATTTACATCTGTGCCTGTTTCTTTCTATTAATTTATTTGAAGTAGATATAGAACAGTGTGTGTGTGGTATTTTAAACATTCTTACAGGTCTGAGGACATTGTTCCTGAGGAGAGCATTGTCCCTCTTGAATTGAGGCACAATGAAAACAATGGACTTTGTATTCCCTTTCATGACTTATGTCTGTTACCTGGTTATGTGCATTCTTTTTTTTTTTTTTTCTACTTCTAATTCTGTCTTGGATATTTTGGCTTGATGGTAGATGTACATAAAATATAGTCAAAACTCAAAGGACATAGCTAAATGTGAAGCCACACAGCTTCTGTTTCAAATGTCCATTCTAACTATAGAGAAGGTCCTTGAGGGGTCTGGTTAACTTTAGTGTGTTGTATTTTATTTTATTTTATTTTATTTTATTTTGTTTTGTTTTGTTTTGTTTTGTTTTGTTTTGTTTTGTTTTGAGACAGGGTCTCACTGTGTAACCTTGACCCTCCTGGAACTCACAGATCTACCTGCCTCTGCCTCCCTGGTTCTTGGTGAAAGCTGTGCACTACCATGTCAGACTTACTTCAAAGTTTGTTTCTATTTGTGTGTGTGTGTGTGTGTGTGTGTGTTGTGTTTATTTATTTGTAACTTTGTGAAAATAAAGTTTAGAACATTTTAAGAGTGAACTGTGCTAAAATGAAGGAGGTCCAGGCTCCAAAAGTGACAGGGCTGCTTGTTCTCAAGACTAAGCAAGTCTCATACCTCTCTCACACACACAAGGATGCAAAAAACTTCAATGATATGTTCAAAAGTATTTGAAAAATAGTATAAATGTTTACAAGTTATTAATTTTACTTTGTATAAAATAAGAGATAACCCTCCTATCACCTGTTGTTTGGTAGCTAGAAATAATGTATACAAACAAGTTATGTTATCATCAAGAAACCAAATACCACATTCCTCACCTGCATTAGCTAATGGACCTTGGGGTGTATATGACACTATGCAGGCTTTAAATATCCCTTCTCTAAAATACTTGAAGTGTTTCGGATTTTTTTGGATTGTGAAATATTTGCGTATTCATAGCAAAGTACCTTAGGGTAGGATCCAAATTGAAACCTGAAAATTGTTTGTTTTATGCACATTTTATTGAAATAGCCCATGGGTCATGTTATATGGATTTTTCAAGTGCCAGTACTGTGACAGAGACTCATCTGAAGTTAGGCACGGAGCTGCCACTTGTGGTGATGTGCACAAGCTAAAAACCAGTTTGTATTTTAAGGCATTTTCAGACTTTAGACTTATAAATTAGAGATGCTTAGCCCAGACCTTGGCATCCAGGGGAGGAAAAAAAAAAACTTTTGTGTGAAAATAAAATGTGAAATAGTGCCATGGTTGCACATAATACCATTTTAAAGTCAATTCTATCAGAGACCGCTAGTTGTAAAGAACAGGAGCCAGTTTGGGTGATGTAAGAATATTTATGGGAAGTATAACAAAATCTGCTTTCGAAGGGGATGAAACTGGCATGCCAAAGTTTCATCCCCTGTGCCAGTCAGCTCGGAACAAGTGATGCTGTGATAACAATCTCCAAACCTCAGTGAGCAACTGGTT